TGTATATGTATATATATATATATCTTCATTAATATTAAATTAAAGCACTAGTTAAGAATATCTAATAATATTATAACAATAATTATGTTAACAGTATATAAAGCGTAAGGATTGCTAGATTTTTAGAGATCTTTGTGTTCTTTATTTTGCTTTCTCTTGAATTAATGTATTTGATGTGAAACATATAAAATTGTTTGATAAATGCTATTATACAAGATTCGTATTCATTCTTTTAAAATTAGTGGAGAACACATCTAATATTATATTTACAAGTTTAAAAGTTCTCTCAGAAATAAAGGATCGTCAAAAAAAATTGCAGTCTGGCGTAACAATAAGATTAAGTTCAAAATCAATTGTTACAATTGGAACATTTATGGGCACAGTAGATCACATATTTTATCTATTACTACGATCATTTCTTCCCAGATTTTTTTATGCCGCCGGTGACCAGAGGTCCTTTTTGACTGGCTTTCTTTGCTGCCTCAGCCAGAGCTTTCTGTGCTTCCTTTTGCTTTTGTTTAAAGGCTACATCTTCATCATCCAAAACTTTGCTTTCCTTCTTTGGTGCTTTCAAGGGTTTCTTCTTACCTCCTTCTCGGCCAGACATTCTAAAGTACATAAAAATTAATCACATGTGTCTGATTATCGCTTATTAAAAATGACACATAGCTCTAACATTATATCCAAAAAGTCACTTAGTTGTTTATTGTGTAGATAATCATCTGGCATGATCTTGAAATTCTCAGTTAAAAGTCATTATTATTAATCATAATTATAAACATTCTTTTTTTTTTTACCCTTGATATACACTGATATACACATTTAGGTCTTATCCATATTTATATTATCGTAACTTCCATAAAAATGGACATATTTCAATTAATTTTTTTTCAATCATTGGAGAATTGATTAAGAAACAAGTCTACAGTATATAAAAATCAATAAAATTAAGGATATATAGATTCAAAGAAAAAGAAAATTTTAGAAACACGAAAAAGATTTTGATTTAGCAAATTGTACTGGAGTTTCTGAGATCCTAGTGTGTATATAATTAGGATTAATTATTGATTTTTCTATAATTTATTTCTATAATTTATTTTTATTTATACTATTATTTTTTTTATTTATATAAAATCATTTATACTATTAAAATCATTAGTAGAGTTAATTAACATTTTCTAAATAAAACATAAGAAAACATATTTTTAAATATATATATCAACAATAGAGAATAAATAAAAACTGATCGAATTTCATTGTTAGGATATAAAAAATCTTTTCAGGTAACTATTCTTGGATTAAATCAATATAACCTCCACAGAAACGGAAATTAATCAAATTACAGACAAAGTATTCTACAATAAGCGATGGACAATATTAACAGCTGTGCCATTAATATTATAACAAAATTAAATCCACAATTCGTTCAAATATATAGAAAATACTTAAAAGTTATAGATATAAAATATTTATGAAACAGCGACATACACATACTACGCAAATACTACTGTTACTAAATTATGGAATTCTGTCAGTATTGGAGTACTTCACTTACTTGCAGCAGTATTAAATTTCCAGACAAGATCGCGAACAAGACACGATAGATTTCGAAATTCGTTCTGATGAAGATTAATAAATGCCACTGTGTGGCAAATTTTTCTCGAGCTAATCGCACAGATTGTGCTGCCGCAAGTCGTGAATTCGAAGCTCGGCGATCTCAGGTCTGTTCCTTGTGGCTAGCTGCTAAATAAATACTCTATTACTTTGTTTTATCATTTTTCTTCTCTTTTAACTTTTTATCTATAATTCAAGTCAGAATTTAAAATAGAACTAAACTCGTAGAATATATAAAATATTCGAAGAATTACACACAAATACATATATATATACATAAAAAATATCTGTAGTGAATTTTTCTGAGAATTTTTCATATAAATTTAAAAAATTTCATATAAATTTAAAAAATTTTTGTAAATTTAAGGGTTTTGAAAAAATGTATAACTTTTTAGAAAATTTCTCAGGTTTTTTTATGTAAATTCAAACTTTCGATAAAGTTTACAATTTTTTTAGAATTTTCATTAAATTCGAATTCATCTGAAATATTCTGAAATGTCTTATTTTATAATTTTTCTAAAATCTTAAGTTTTCTCAGATTTTATAAATTTCATAAAAAATTACAGAATGAGAAGATTAGTTCTAAGTCTTAGAATATTTCAAAATTTATAT